ATTTCTCAACGCTGACCCAATTTTCTTTTTCTCTTTCAATTCAGCTTAATATCGAACGTTTGCCCAGTGATACAAAAGTTTAAGTAATCCATGTAAAGGAAATTCGCAAAATAAAAGACCTCGAGAAAAACTTGAAAATAGTAGATGAGTTCAAGACCGAGAATTGCCCAAGAATATTTAAAACCACTCAAAAAGGAAAGGTTTCACGAGTTATTACAAAATAAACCGGAGGAAAATATAAGTAACAGAATAAGTAGAGGAAGAATTCTAAGCGATGAGAAGTATTACATGTACTTCCCAGGAATGAGATATTATTAATATTCAGTATTTCTTTTTATAATATTTCCATGTGGTTCACTTCAGGAGGTTTTCCGAAGAAATGAATGTTTCCTATACTGAAAAGTCGAAAATCCATCTTTCCTATATCAACCAGCGCCATCTTTTTTATTTAAATTTTCATAAAAATATTAGACCACAAGCTTGATCCCTGAATTGGGAATATTCGGATTTGAATATTTGGATATTTGGAACATTTTCGTTCTCAGGTTGAGAAAGCAGTATGGCGGTAGGTATGTATTAGGTTCCAAGTTCCTGCTAAGACCAGCGAGATCGAATTCCATCCAACCTGCTAACCTTTTAGGTGTTCGCTAATTCATTCAAACTTGTCTGAGACTGTAAAAGAGAAATAAATGGGACGGTCTATTAGACCTGGAGGAATCGCCCAAATATGCAAAACTCAAGTTTCGCTGTACCGAGATTACGGTACAAGATGGATTGACCTTCTTGATTCAGCTTCGTATTTCTCACTGTAGCAGAACTCCGGAAGGCCCTGCCATTCCCCATAGTACTTACCTTGTAGGTCATACTGATACCGTTGGTGTGTACGAGTTTTTTGTCGAATGAGCCACACGAAGCGCTGAAGTATTTGTCCTATAGCGGAACCCGATCTGGGATGCCGTTGGAATTTTGACGGAATCGAGATCATGGTGCACACCAGAAGGTCTGCCCTGCGTACAACCGTTGGTTCCACAAAACTGGTGCACGTAGTCATGCAGCAAATCGAAGGAGTAGTTTGAGCACCCTTGAAAAAACTACTGAGGACGTTTTACTGACTGATGTCCATTAGTTCCAGTGGCTCTCATAAGAAAACCTCACTCTGCGAGCAACGATATGGTAAGCGAGAAAAAAGGGCAACAAAAAACCGAGACGTCTATAATGGCAAGCAACCCAACCGAGTGAATGTGGAGGGAAGAAAAAAAGTAGAATGGAAACGAACTAATGGGCAAAAGAGGTTGAATCGGAGTGTGAGTGGGAGAAGCGAGTTAATTGAAGGGGTGTTGTTGGGGAATGTCATCACATAACAGGAGGCATCTATTCTCGAATCGAATGTTGCTCGAACCAAGAGAACATTTCGCACTCAAAGGTCGACAATTGGAACCAAGCTCTCCCGTACTACTCGTAACTACGATCTCGTAACACAAATAGTGGGAAGATATTCACTTATGCACTGGGATTCTGAACTCTCAAGATACGTGATATGCCGGTGCAAGCATTGCCAACACAATTTCATATTCGAAGTGTGTAAGACAGACCCTAAAAAGGGCTAGATTAACGCTTTAGGGTTCATCCTCTCTCTTTTACCCTCGCATTGGGGTCATTAGCGAAATTTCAAAGACCTAACCTCAACCTGGAAATAGGAATCGCGATATGCCACGTCCCTACGTTCTTCCAGTTCCATCAACGTAAGATCCACTAGCTTGACAAGCACCAGTCATTGAATTGAAGTTTAAAGTCAGCAAGATCATATTAATGGCATTCCTTAAGTTATAGGTACTTTTGTCTGTTAAGTTTATGTCAGAGAACAAGCGACTATATATCGCTCTGCCTGTTCTTGAAGATTGGCTTGCTCAGAATTGGCATTTCCACAACTTTCTGAACTATCTCGCAGTTGCGCGGCTATCTGAGAGACTCTGCGCTCCAATATCTCGTTTTGAATTCTTGTGCAGAAGGGAAGCCTCCGATTCACAACTATCTCTGCAACCAAACCATCAATATTCATCCCAACTGCTGTCAGTATGGATCGTGTGTAGTGCCTAAGAGCCTTGAACGAAAAGCGGAACTCGGATTCGAACTTCGGCTGAGGCAAAGTGTTTGGCCCATTCTCTGACAAAAGATGATAGTGCTGAAAGTGTAGACTGATAGGCAGAATGGGATTCTAGAAAGAACCACAGGTTACAAACCCCTTTCCAGGAAGGCCGTGTGTTTTCTTAACTAGGGTAGTATTATGTAGTAAAGTTTGCTGAGTCACTTCAAGTTATCTGTTGATCTCAGTACGAGTGATTCAGCCCGCACGTGTCGCATTTGTTCTTGGGCGACTGCCGCGCGACCCCTGCTGTTAGTGTTTAGAGAACGCATTTCCATTTGAAAGCAGCCCCCATCATTCCTTGATCATTGCCGAAACGGTTGCATCCTCGCCATGCTGTAAAAAACTCACGTAAGGCCACCAATGTTATACACTTTGAATGCCAGACGTCGGAGAGGGAGCGATTCTTGATGCGCACAAAGCCAACTTTGCCGGTATTGTCAACACAAATAATTTGGGCCCCCGTGTGAAAGCACTTATATCAATTGAATAGGTGCTGAAATTCGGACATTTCGCGAATATCGGTCTGATCCGTTAAGGGGGAGGGGGGGCATGTGGGTGCGACAGCTTTGTAACTACAGAAATTCCAATTTTTGCAAGGGGAAGGGAATCCCCGGGGTGCGTGAACCATTTCGCTTGAACTTTTACACCCACCTACAGAGCTTCCCTTCCCCTGAAAAAAAGTGGATTACTTCATGCAATATGAACTGTCGCACCACATGCCCCTTACTGGCCCTTACTGGATGAGACCCCTAAAACTTGGCGCTCGTTCTAATGAAATGGTTATGTAATATCATACGTATAGATTGAATAACCCTTGCTTGCAGTCAGAAAGTTGTCTGTGCGAATACAGAGTATGAATCATTATGATCACCGTCCATTCGCTTGGCCTGCAAAACAGGGATCATACATACTTCAGAAGGCGTTCTAGGAGGACTAGCAGAGATATTAAGCTACGTCCTCGATACCCAAGTTGACTCTAATTCCTCTTATTCAATTTCAAATCATAAAACACAGTGACCAAAAACATTACTCAATGTTTTTCTATACCCAAAATTTCCAATATTTATAGGCAAACCAGTAACCAGCCACAAATTGATCAATCCTAATGAAAATATTCGTGTATTACTGGACAATAGTAATAATCGTATGTCAGTATATTGAATAAGCTCCAACCAAGATTGATAACAACTTTTATTTCGCTTACGTTTCGGCGCTTTCGCCTTCTTCAGAAGCCTTTAGAAATCTTGTTGGAGCTTATTCACTATACTGACATATTCTCTAAAACTCATGCCAAGATTCATTGAAGTATTACGAATATTATAATTATGTTAATTGTTCTTTCATGAGTATGGGAGTTTATGAAAAGATATCTTTGGACATCGAAATTACAGTTTCAGTGGAGAGGGCGACAGTTCAACGGAATCCGAAGAGAACGATCGACCACGTCGATCAAGACGAGGGCGAGACTGTAAACGCCTTGCTGTACATGCATGTCCCTATGCTGGATGCTTGAAAACGTAAGTGAACTGCTTGAAATGCCACATCATACAAAATAAACACGCCTCAGAAAATTGATTTTTATTTTTTTTTCGTATGGATGAAATTCTAGTTCTCTGAAAAAATTAACAGAGCGTTACCTAGAGACCTGGCTTTACGTTTTAAGCGCGCAAACTAATATTTCTCTCCAGGTGATATCCTTTAAAAAGCCATTCTCTACGATTGGTTTCTGTATTCCTATAGTGAGGGTACATAGCCGCGACACGAATAAAAATGGCGAAAAATGGCACCAGTGAAAAAATGAGGAAGATAACTAGGGTTATAACTAGGGCTACATAACTAAGGCTGACTAACCCAAAAATGAGGTCTTTTCTGGGTAATGGCCAAGCCCGCAAGGTACTGTCAGAATCTTCTGCAAGAGATTCATCTAGGAATTACAGCCATGTGACTAGGGACAGACTTCGAAACGCATGCGCGCAAAACTTGTCAGGTGCCGCCTTTCGATTCTAGCCTCTCTCTTCTCTACTTGCTGGGAGGCTAAGACTCCAAGCGAGACGATCGCAAGGAGCGGGGCAACCGGACATGGGGTCTGGGCGATCAATTAGGCCGCGGGGAAAGTTACATATGCTAGATCGTCGGAGCATATACTTCGCCGCTGCGGATCGCGTGCTGGTCTCCATCATTGGGAGATCCGCTATCGCTCAACCAAGCCGTAAGTTACCCTTCTTCGAACCTTCGTCCCTTTAATCGAATCCTCGCTTTAATGTTCTACAAAGGCCACTACTGCCGGTTACGACCCATTCTACTTACACGAAGGAATGTCCGCAGGAGCTAATGGCGAAAAATTTTACAGATCGCTTTCGAAAGATTCCCATGCAGAGAGCTACAGAATGCGTGTTCAGGAAAATCTGAGCTGCATCGTTTTTCTTTATAGCCAAAGATAGCTATGAATTTCAGGTATTCCAAGAGCTCCCATTTAAAAGCACATGTGCGCACCCATAGCGGTGAGAAGCCATACTGTTGTTCATGGGAAAGGATGTGAATGGAAATTTGCACGCAGTGATGAACTCACACGGTACGCCCATTTTGTTCAGCTTGATCTCAATTCTTATTTCTGTTTGAAAACCTTAACAAGCACTGTTGCAGCATAAACGGAAACATATATGGCGACGTCCGTTCCAATGCAGCCTGTGCGATCGTGCATTTTCTCGCTCTGATCATCTCAGTCTTCACATGAAACGACACAACGTCGCTTGATTATTACCGTAATCGTGAATTGATACCACCTATTCGAAAGGGTTAAAATTCCGCTAGGAACTCGATAGCACTTGTATGATATGGAAGTTATTGGAGAAATGAGAGCTATACTTCCGCGGGGGGCGGTGTCGGTAATCCGTTCGTCCTTTATAGTGCCTAAGCACTCTTGGCGCATCACGCGGATCGGCGACGGCTTCATGGTCCGAGTGATTTTGAGAAGCTATGCAAATATAGAGGAGGGGCCAATAATATTGATGGGCTCACAACTGGTCCATTATGCCCCAACAAGAGCAAAGGGCAGGAGCGCGGACGGCAATCAATAAGTATCCAATGCATGGGGAAAGCCAGCCCCCGAACTCTGGACGCTGCCATCGTGTACCTTTGTGGTTCATCATTAACTTCAATTTTCCTGACACGGATAAACCTAGACGCCGACCCCCTCGGAAGGTCTGCCATACTGGAAAAGCGCTTGTTCTGTACAAATTTTCATCAGATATCGTCCCGAGCACTTGATAGTTTTCCGTGTCTATTGGCTCAGATGGTTGCGTTCACTTCTGATTTGTGCTCTAACATTGGCCTCTGTTACGAGCATGCTATACACTGCTGTTCATAAGCTTCATCAGTACTCATTCTCCAGGTCAATATAACTCACTAGAAAGTTCCACAATGGTCTATTTCGTTTGCAAATCTAATTTTTCTCCTTGTACATTAATACTAGAAGTTATGGTGGCGTTGATGTGTCGTTAAGGCCGATGTCAGACTTTGCGAATCGAGCGATCGCTACTAGCGATTCGCTAGCGTCCGCGGTCGCGTTGCGGTACCAGCCAATTGAGTGATTCACTGGCCGCGACGCGACCGCAGACGCTAGCGAATCGCTCGATTCGCAAAGTCTGACATCGGCCTGATGCTCCCAACGTGATCATTAACTTCAAGTTCCTTCATACAACCTGTTCTGTAGATTGTGTGCTCAATTGATTTAACTCAGAGCCCACTTTATTCTTGCGTATTCGTGTCTTCTCTTGGCTAAAGTTTAGCGCGGTTCAACATCTTGCCTTGCTTTATTGTGATTTCTCATCCATACAGGTTGTTAAGGTAGTGAATAGCTTCAAGTGTTCATTCTAGCACTACCAGAACCGTTTTCCTTTTGTAATTGTGTGTTAACATTTGATTCTCAATGCACATTAAAGCAAATAAATCTTTACGTTGAATCACAAGTAAGAGTCAAATTCTGGAATTTGATAGGTGAATGACGGCTAAAATGCCTAGTGTAAAAATATGTACGATGTGCCAAGTGTTGGGATTATACACAAAATCCTTAGCAACGTAAAGGATTCCACGATAAGAACGAAGGTCGAAGGAAGGGAAACTCACCTAGTGGAGGGACAGGTGCGGATCCACACGCCGCGATTCGAATCGAAAGGTATGTCCCCGGCGATCTTTCATGGCCTTCCCTTGGCGCAATTGGCGAGGAACGCCCACCGCTAACGCTCTCTCTGCTACCTATTCTCTCGCCGCAGGTTTATACGCGGCGAGTGGATTAGATAGCAGAGAGAGCGTCAGCGCTGAAGAGGGCATAACGACCAGTGTCGCATCAATGTTGGAAATTATATGGGGCAAATGAAAGCCGGGCCGTTGTCACAATTGGCTTCTTTCTTCATCCTTGCTTCACTGATACTAACCTCCACCCTTATTCCAAGGGATAAGTACCTTCTCTATCGTAAAACCGGTTCTTTAAACATTAGTTCGTAAAATAGGTCTGAATAACTATGATCCCCTCTTTTTGAATACTTCAATACAATGTACTCAACGCTGTTTTGACGAGTTTCTTGTTCCTCCTCAAATTTAGAAGTAAAAATGCGGAAGTAAGCGGGATATCAACCTAATAGTATTTTAGGTCCCGCTCCGCCCAAAAAATACGATGTGTCAGTGTTGAGCTTTGTCTTGACTACTTGGTTCGAAATGTCTTAGACCCTACGATGATCAGAGCTTCGAAGAGATTTAGGCGTTGAGATTAAAGGCATTCCCAGGATCACATTGGTGGGGCCTTGCTACACGAATGCGAATATATTGGTGCGAACATGGGCCGGTAGTAAAGGAAATAGGAAAAGAATCACATCGAAAACGCTTAGGTTAAGGGCTCGCTCACCTTTCTAATCGGCTGTGCTAAGGGAATGAGAGACTAAGCGCGGAGAGTATGAGGCGAGAGAGCGCTACAGATGAGAGAGCGCCAGACAACAGCCTGATAAGAGAAGAAAAAATCTGCAGCTTCAGCAGCTTACTTTGCAAGGCCCAAGCGCTCTTGTCGGCGGTTGGTTTCCTCGTGCACGGGAACACCACATTTGTGATTGTCCTGTACAGTACCCTCGCCTTCAAATGACCACGAAAATCTCGATGCCAATTGCAGAAATGCACATCACGTGTGCTCAGAGATTTTCTTGAATCGCCACGTTAATGCCACGTCAATTTCTGCAATTGCACTATTTCTGGTCATTTGAAGGGGAGGTTATCTATCACTACGGACCGAAGGGGTAGCGATCACACGACCTCTGCTGCATGGAACCGTTGTACAGGCCACTTCTAAATCAGGCGTAATCGAAATGGGGTCCCCAAATACACAGATGTCCAAATATACGTTTCCAAAGAAGTCGACAGTCGCGTTTACCACGACTCTTTTTTCCCCACAGCTTGCTGCGCCCCATTCGCACTTTTAGCCCCCGTGGTCACAGAGTTGAAATAGCCGAGCTTACGAAACTTGCGCTGAGAGACATCTGTTCACAGTAGAACCCCTTACCTACAGAATCCCCGTTTCACCTAGCCATCTGAATGTAAAGGAGTATCAATGAAACCAATTACGATTGGGAAACTACCTTTCGCTAGGTTTATTTATGTATTTATTATATTTATTTACTATTGCCACAAATGAGACAAACAAAGTGTTTATGCAAAATGGAAAATAGTGACAACAATAGTGTGCAAACATACAAATTTATAATATATGCCACTATATCAGGGTTCTTTCCTAAAGCCAGCCCTTCCAACCTTCAAACTGTTAAACTCTCTTCTTTTTGTTTCAAAGATATAAGGGGCTTTCGCGATGGTTGGATATCAGAACTGTAAACAGCCTTCATATTTCGATCAAAAATGTTTTAGTTCTTGAAACCGAGGACTGAGCCTTGTGAATTTGTGGGTCAAAATCGGCGGAAGCTTCCCGAATCAGCCCAATAAATCAAGACTGAATCAGTTCAGTAGCACCCTGTGTCTCAAAGGAAAATTTGTATCCAGTGAAATCCTCAAAAAATATTCTTGCTCGAAGAAACTGTCAGACACTGGATAAATCAAACATGCACGGCGACAAGTTCACACTCTGGTAATGGGCGCGCTCATTTCGGTCCTGCGCTTTAGTTTAAACGCGGGGCACAATTTACGACCATTATCGACGCAGTGTTGGGGTAGGCGTCATCACCGGCAGCAGTTCGCACTTCGCTAGTGTCGCGCGGTTTAAGCTCCTTCACACGTCGCTGATATCAGCACATTGCTGGCATAACATCATCACGGTATTTTCAATTGAGTGCGGCAGCCACGCCACGTCACAGTTCCGATTGACACGCCTACCCCAACGATAACAAGAAGAAAAACAGGTAAAAGGTGATAAGCTCCGCAGACTGTCAGTTCGATTCATATCCATATCAACCATATGTCGGGAAATTGCTGTGTACATACAAGTGGAAGACTCATGAATACATAAGAACCAATGAGAACGGATCTGTATACACACAATACCAGGAAGAAACAGAATTTATTTATGATGTAAATGAGTGAAATAAAAATAAAGAAGAGAAAACTCTGAGATATACACACCTTACATCGCAAAGCAAAACTACTGCGAACTTGTACCGAATAGACCCGGCGCAATTCACTACAATATGTTTCTAAACACCACATTCACAGAAACCGTATATAAACATACTAACGAAGATAACTTAAAAACGTGCAGTACTGATATCATTTGTTCGGAGGCAAGGAGTGGACTGTGGCGGACGCATTCGCGCGGTCATCTCTTGCACGTAGCAATGCACGCGGAAGACCGCGGATGAGAGGGATTACCAAATTCGAGTTATTTGGGAAACAAAAGCGTTGGATATTCTGGGCGTCTCGACTTGCTGTGAACAGCACTGATGGCTACGTGTTGAGTCCGTACCATCGCTGCGCCAAAGGTCCCCACTACTCTCGCGCGCTCGACGAGCTACAAAATTGTTCTTCAAAAGAAAAATAATAACCTACCTTTGAAACAGCCGCGAAATGCTAAAAAAATGAATGGAAATAAGGAAATGATAATTTAAACAAACTTATTCTTCAGCATCATCTGACGCGACTTATTTACTTCGTCAAGAATCATGGCTGGATCGGTTTTCTGAAAAATATCTCTTTTGCTGGTGTCAAAGACATGATGTATGCCAAAATAACGAGGTAACAGGGAAAATACGAAATAAATATCAATATGAATTGTACTGGCTTGGCCATTGCTCGTGATGCTGCGGTGGTAGTTGGGAAGCAGGGGAGGTTGCAGGAGGAGAGGTAAGGGAAAAACCGACTGCCAAATAAGTGTTGAGTTCCATTTTACGTAGTGTCATGATTGCCATAGGACGGACCCTCCATCACAAGACACCTCATTTTGTTCATACGTATATCCTCCACGAAGTTCAACTTCACAAGCAAGGCGTAAAGCTGACGTAGGAAAGGGAGGTTTTAATGGTCGCCGGGGGCAAAAGTGGGGAAAAATAGAAC